CAAGATATGCTATGTCTACCACATTCCCTTCATCTAGCAAACTGGTAAATCCAGAGCACAAAAACCCAGAGCACTCAGGAGCCATGCTGGGCAGCTCTTTATATATGTGTCTCATGGTGCCCACCATCCAAGTTGCTTCCTCTGAGGCTGACAACAAGGCACCCAGCCTGTAGATCCCAGAGGGAGCGACTTGTGGTGGCAGGTGGGCACAGCGGGATGCATGTGTGAACAGCCATCCAGTGTCGCACCAGAGTGCCCAGGTAATGGGGGGATCTCGGGGCATCTTTGGGGCCAGAATATTCCAGGAAGAGCCCAGAGTATGATCAGTGTAGACCTGCCTCTTACATAGATCACAATGGTTGTGCAGGAACAGAAGAAGCTGCATTACACTGAGGGTGCATCCACACTACAGCAATAATCTGCTTTGACATCGCTTTAACTGCCATGGCTCAATGCTATGGAATTTTGGGAAGTGTAGTTTGCTGCGGTACCTCTGGGGTTTTTTGTCTGTAAGAATGTATTTCTCTGTATATAATGATTGCTTCTTAACTTGCTTAGCCTCCAAAATGAGATGAGACAGCACAGGTTCTGGATTGTAGAGCAGTCTCCATGGGAGATCCCCCCCCTGCACATGTATCCCAATCCCAAGCTGTTTAGGGCTTTATAATTAGGTATAGTGGTTTGAGTGTTGGACTAGGATTCTGGAGACTAGGATTCAAATCCCCAAGCAGCCATGGAAATGCACTGGGTGACCTTGGGCAAGTCACACACTCTCATCCTCAATGGAAGGTGGTGATAAACTCCTCTGATGAAATCTTGCCAAGAAAAACCCCATGATAGGTTGCCCTTAGGGTCGCCATAAGTCATAAACGACAAGATATTCATTATATAAAGTATACAAAAATAATATTAAAAGAGACAGAACGAACAACAATTGAACAGTTATGGAAGATCCTAAAGCATGATAAACGTAGTGTAATTAAAAGGAGTGGAAAACCCAAATATTATTTGTTATTAAAACTATGAGGGAGTTGGCAAAGAGTAAATGATTCATTGTACAATTCTGGGCTTTTTCTCTTCAAAGGAATTCCTACACAATGTATGGGACTTATTCCCAAAATGGCATGCCTAGGATTGCCACTTTATTCATTTATGAATGATAGAAGGTTGGGGTGGCTTTTAAAAAGCAAATGGATGATCCATGGAAAATGAGTAGATCCTAAAATTCATAAGGAATTCAGGAAGCCTCTGAGAATGTGCTAAGCAGATCCACATTGTTTCTTTGGGATCAACATACAGGTCATTTGGCAATGATCGGGATGGTTCTTATTTCCTTTTTAAATATATCAGCTTCCTTTGGTCAGGCCCTCATCACAACCCAACCTCTCATTTCAGCTGTCTTGACTTATTTGGCACATGTAGTTTGGTTAGTTCTTGTCACTTTGTAGTCAGAAAAAAGAACTTTTGATGGATGGACAGAGACACTCAGTTTTTACATGTCATAATTTCCACCTGGACAAGGGAAACATGGTTTGGAGATAAAGCTTTTAAAGACATTTCTCTCTCTGTGTGTGTGTGTATGGTGTGTCTTCACATCATTTCTGATTTATGGCAAACATTTCACAGAGGTTTCTTGGTAAGTTTTTTCAGAGGGGGTTTGCCGTTGCCATCCTCAGAGGCTGAGAGAATGTGACTTGCCCAAGGTCAACCATGGCTGAGCAAGGATACTCTGCTTCCCAGAGTCGTAGTCCAATGCTCAAACCACTACACCACGCTGGCATTTTGCTACCTGAGGCAAAGGACAAGATGGTGCCCAGCCGCCACATCCATTCCACCTTCAATTGTACAACGAATCATATAGATCCAATTGGATTGGTAGCTGAATTTAACTCGGACACAAGTGAAGGGACTGCTTCCTCCACTGCAACTGAGGACAGAAAGATTGGCAGCTGGTGGCTTCCATGTCAGTGGGGTGGAAAGTCTGTTCCAGGTTATGATTCAGACTTTAAAGGAGCTGTCCAAGGTGCTGGTCCCATTTGGGAGACAGGGTTCAGCTGGCACTGGACAGCAAACTCATTCAAGGTGATCTTTTGCTCCATCTCCATGCCCTCCAACTATCTTGATTTGGCAGATAAATCCTCTTGTCATCCCACTCTTTCAGCTGCTTTTAAAATGTCCCAGTTTCTCTCTCCTCCTCCCGCTTTGTTCTCAGCTTACTTCAGTTGCTGCAAACCCATAGGATCAGCTTAGGTGAGCTGTAAGTTGGAAAAACAACAGCAAAATGAGTTCAAGTGCAAAAGTAGTTTGCATTCAGTTAACTCAGCAGTGAGGAGAAGAGAGGGGACTGACCTTCCCAGTTGGCTCAGGCAAAAGTAAACTGCTGCAGCCTTTCCTAACTTGTTTGTTCTTTCTCGTTCCTAACACTTTCTGACTTGACTGCTCTCTAATGGCAACCACACATGTGTCCCAGTTTTCATTTGTGAAATGCTGAAGGGTATGAGTTCTTCCTTATCAGAAATGTATAATTACAATAGGGAGGCATTGTCTGCAGTGGCATTGAACTTTGAAACAGAGCAGAAAAGTAAATTTGGAGGGTTGTGATTCCTAGAATCTTGCAGCAGCAGAAGGAGTTTGGAGGTGTCAAACCCCAAAAGTAACTTTTCCAAGCTATACTTTCAATGGTCCAAAACACACTGTAAAAATAATCCAGTTAG